TTCTATTGTGCTCCACCTGCAGAATATGAAGAACGAGAATCATGGGACAGAGGATGCATCTCCAGGGTCGTCTAGTCCAGCCTGCTGCTCAAATTCAGGATGCACAGCCCAGAAAAATGCTTATTCAGCCTCTTCCTAAAAACTCCCAATGAAAGCAATTGCACAGTTTCAATTATTCTATTGTTTTTACAGTTAGGAAGGTGTTTTTTCTCTTTTTTAATGAGATTTAATCTAAATCTGCTTTGCTGCAGTTTAAATCTATTGTTTCATGGCCTGCCATCCATGGCAAGGGAGAACAGTTGCTCTCTCTTTTTCTTTATGGCAGCCTTTTAAATATTTGAAAATTACTATCACATCCCCTCTTAATCTCCCTTTCTCCAAATTTTAAACATGCCTAGTTCTCTCCGATATTCCTTCTACAGCACACATTCCAACCCCCGTGTTATCCTTGTAACTCTCTAGATGCTCTCCAGTTTTTCTTCCTCTTTCTTAGAAAGCAGAGCCCAAAATAAAACTCACTATTCCAACTGATGCCTCTCAGAAGAGTTCATATAAATCTTATTTTCCTTAGCCCTAGTTTTCTGAAGGTTGTCTGCAACCTGTAAGAGATCCCATGAGACAGGATAATTTGTGCCAATATGCACTATCACTAGTGGACCCCTGCTTGTCATTTGTGGAGCACGTCATTCTTCGGGGATGCCTGCACTGTACGGTGCTGTGCCATGCAGATGTATCCAGACTAGTTTAAAACAAGCTAGCTCAAGTATACAGAGCAGCTTGGCAATGTTAGTGCAGTGTTCCTTTGAATGACAACTCATGTCTTGTCTCTTGGAAGACAGTACACTGCCCTGCTGTCTTCCTGTCTCTCCTTCCATTCTTCTTAGAGGAATCCTTTTCTGAAAATTTTTCTATGTCCATGTTTGATTTTCTTATGAGTTAGCTGAACAGTTTTCTGAAGGCACGTCCTATATCTCTCTCTATTCCATTCTGTTAGCTGGATCTTCAGAGATACTTTCCATATTTTTTCCACGCTGAAAACCTAATAATGATTGTAGAATTATCTTTGGGCCTCTTCCCTTTCTCTCTAGAGGTCAGAGCCTACCCATACATTTCTGCCTGCAACCCTGTAAAATGCCCTTTTACTTCTATGTATAGTTCTCTGATCCATTTTATGATGGTTAGTGATGGAACAATTCATGGATCTCCAATAGATGTGCTAATGTTTTTTTTCCTGCAAGGAGGCACAATGGCAGTCTGGTGTATGACATACAACTTGGTAGCTGTACAATGAAGGCTAAGTATGAACATTGTGGAGTATCACCTAGGTCAGCGGTTCCCTAACTCTGACAGGTTGTGCACCACCAATTTAAAATGATACATCCTTAAGTACCACCAGCAAATTTTTGTCATATAAAGTAATTATAATAAATGTGTTAACGCGTACCACTGACAGATTGTCTGCGTACCACAGATTGGGAACCGGTGACTAGGCTATAAACTTCCTCCAAGCCCCCTCTCTCATTGTTCCTATTTCCAGCTCTTTGGGAGCCAGCTCCTTTCTTCCTTATTTGTGGGTAGTGATGCTTCACGAATCTTGGGTTCTCAACTTCGTGATGCTCCATAATATTTATTCTTATCCTTCATTCCATAGCCACTAAGAACTGGACCTTGAGAGAGGTTTCATTTCCATGCTCCATTACAGTCTCTGTAGTTTACTGCTTCTGTTTGCTCTGATGCTTCACTGCAGGAAATTGGAAGCAGCATAAGATCATCTTTTGCATTGTACTCCCAACTTATTTGGGCTCTAGTGTTTGTATCTACAAGAAAGTGCAGTCAGATGATTATATGCATTATTTTAAACAATTTATTAAATGTAGGTAAACAGTTATGTTTGAGTGTATCCCTATCTATCACCCATCTTATGTCACAAACATTATGCATTTCTAAGGCTGAAACTGATATTGTGGAGGCTTTTGGGTGCCTCCACAATATACATAATAATATAAGGATTGTTTTTTGAGCTTTGGAGACTCTTTCCAGAGGTAAAGAGAATAGAGCTCTTCAGAGTAGCATTTAAAAACAAAGCTTCAGAACATGTGTGTAAAGAAAAAAAACCCTACATTCTGCAGTTCAGTTTGACAGCTTATCAGTTTTTAAATTATGGGATTTCTTAGCAGATGGAAAGCTGCAGAGAGGTAGCCTGGAGTGCTGCAAGGAATAGCTTCCTTTCCCTGGCTAACAGGTGCCAGTTTCTTTGGCTTGTGGGATTCCATTGGTCTGGGTCCAGAATGATTCCTGAGCAGATGCAGTTTGGAAACATGACAGCTTTGCTCAATAGATGCTGTACTTGATGGTTCTGTGATAGAGAGATAAAATCCATAGACCTTAAAAATACATAGGTTTCTGATCAGTAGCAGAAACTAAATTTCTGGAAAAATGTAATACCCAGGATATTCTAAAGCTCCAAGAATTTCACCTGTAATCAAATTTTCCTGTTTGTCTCCTCCCTGTCAAGCCTCACAATGCTGGAACTTTCAGTTTGTTAGAAAAAAGGCTGGAGGTAACCAACTCCTCTGCTCATGAAAGAACTACCACAGATAGAGATACATGCCTTACTCGCCCCTGGTATTCGCAGTCTGTGCAGATTCAAGAAGTAGGAATGTAATTTAAGAGCAGCATTCTCAGTCCGGTTGTCTCTATTTTCAAGAATTTTTCCTGTTTCTGTGTATGTGGGGGACAGCATTATAATATAATGTAACTTCCACTTTGCAGAATAAAGGAGTGTGAGAACTTATGTAGGGAGCTAGGAACCCTGTTTGCATTGTAGTGCTATACGTAAGGATCTGTTGGTTGTCTCACCCCTGCTTCAGTTGGCTGGCACGGGGGCCACAAAGTAATTTGAGGGGAAGATTTCCTCCCTCTTTCTTCTGTGCTTCCCCCTATTAGCCAGTACACTGCACAGGAAATTTGACCCTGGATCTGAATCTAATGAAATTCTAGGTGGACTAAAAGCCCACATAGGTGAATTGTACATTACAGTCATTTCAGAATTTCTGACAGCCTTTTCCTTTTTTAAATTAGGTAACTGTTTCTGTGGGAAGGGAGCTGTCTGTTAAAATTGCAGTAGGCTTGACTACAGCAGCTGCAGTGCTCCCCAGGGTTTAAATTTCACACACTACATATACGTGAAATCATAGTTATAGTCAAAGAATGATACTCTGGCCCTCACTCTGGAGAGAACCCCCCATTCATTAGTGTATGTAGTCTATTACTGCTATATATCAGTGGGGCTTAAGTCAGAGGAGCTACAGTGGTGGGGAGAAAGAAGAGGTGTGTGCAGAGAGGTGGACCCCAAATTCTGAAATGGTCAGCCCAAAATGGAGACCAAGCTAATGGATGAATAATGGCTGACTAAAATGAGTCTGATCTTTTGTTCAGTAGCACCACTATAATTCAGAAGGAACCCGTGATTTACAGTTATGAGAGGAAACAATAAGATGACCATTGTTCGGAACTAATATAAATCATAATAATTTGTATTTCATGACAAACGTTTTACATACTCTGAAGCATAGTTTGTTCATTAAGCAGGGCACTAGTAAGCACATGCATAGTTAAAATTCAGAGGGCACGTCTATATGGTACAAGGGAGACTCGGGGGAAAACATGCAGCCCCCTTCTGAGATCTGGCCACCTGCTCCACACATACTCACATGCCCAGTGGAAGCAGTGAAACCGTATTGGTGTGGTGCTGTGCAAAACCCGGTGGTCTGTCTCTCTCCCCATTGCTTCTGATGCTACAGCAGCAGAGGTCTCCAGACTCCCTGTCTCTCCTCCAGTTTCTGCCTCCTGTCGCATCCCTGTCCCCCTGCTCCATCGCCACCCAGCACCCTCCTGCATGCAGGCAACAGGAGGATGCTGCATACCTGATGAAGGAAAGCTGGGCTGCTTGCACTTCTTGGGGAGGGAGGGGGAGAGGAACCAGGCTGCCTATGCTTCCCACACAGTGTAGGGGCCCCAGAGGTCTGCAGCCCGTGTGGCACGCAACCTGTGGATCATTGGCCCAGGGGGCATGCAGCCCTACCCTTAGTAGTTCCCTTGAAATCTACAGGACTACTCATTCAGCATTATGCATTTGCTTAAATTCTCTGCTAGATTAGGGAAGCAAGGTTAATATCCTCGTTTTACTCTGTGAGCAACATACAGTAGTTTACTACAAATATCCAGTTTGGATTATGACCACAAAGAGGTTTATACTTATGCATTATAGCTGTCCTAACTTCTTTGTCTCTCTGGGTTGGTGTTTGTTTTTTTCCTTTTGTGATTTTTGCTTTATAAAACATCCAGTTTCTTTTTTTAAAGAAAAATTCAGATCCTTAAAGGACTAGAAATTGAACTGGATAAACCAAAGACCAGTTCTTCCTTTTTTGTTGTTTTTTCTTTTTTCTTTTTTTTTAACCAAAAACTGGGCAAAATTTGTTTTTCTGGTGGGGGGGAGGGGAGCGAATAATGTTTTTGAAAAAAATTCTGGTGGGTGTCATCTTTGGTTATTTCTGGCCATTCTGCAGGTGTGAGAGATGCCTTTTAACCTCCACTAAGTAAAAACACATTGCTCCTTCTCTCTAAGGCAGTTTCTGAGTGCCAAGAATTGTGCATGTAATACAAAGGAAGTTTTTATAGCACACTTCAGCTAACATGGGATCCAAGTCCAGTACAGTTATGTCAAGAAGCAAGATATCAGGCATCCAGATGCCACAGTAATGTAACAGTTATATTGGACCATCCATATAGAATAGATGTAAATTTATCCAAACATGCCTTAAAAAGAAGGAGTCCTGTTGTTGCAGAACACTCCTAATGGTGCCTAAAATAAAGAAGGATAAAGGATTTTTTTTTCATACTACAACTGTTTTAAAAAAACAAAGCCAAGGTAATTGCTAAGCACACTGAGATGTAGTGAAATTACCCAGAGACTCATTGTGTTTAATTTTTTATTCCAGCGTAAATGAACGTGATCACTTATTAAAAAGGCTTGGCAGGAAGACTCCTCCAAGTCTCTTCCGTGCTCATTCTGTCCAGCAAGGCGTATCACGTAAGTACCAGATTATAGATGTGTATTCCTCAGGCATTGGTCCCAGGTGAGTGAAGAGGAAGATGATTATTTTATAATTAAATTGTAGGTAGAGATAATCCTGTACAGAGGCTGAGCTGCCAACCAAGAGACATACATTTGGAAGTGGAATTAGAGTATTTGGCCCCAGGCTAGTAAAGCTTGAATACAGATAATTCCCTAGGACCCAATCAACTGGCCCAAACGACAAAATCCCAATACACAAATTCCATAAATTTGAAATCCCAGTATTCTGAAGTTCTTGTACAATTAAACACTCTGCAGGATAATAATGCTATAAGAGATCCCTGTTTTTAAAAGTAACTACTTCTTCCCAAATATACAAATGCTTGTCCAACAGCAGTTTTAAAAATACAGCAGTATCCCTTCGGTATTGTTTAGGAAAGTTTCTACATGCTTTTTACAAAGCAGGCCATGGTCTGAACAGCTGCCTTGCTCACATGCTTGGTGTCTTTTGGGGAAGTAATGGGCACAACCCTAACCCTGCCTGCTCCTTCCAGAAAAGAGAACCAGCCTCTCTCTCAGCTTCTGAGGTCATCAGTTTAGACTACTTCACATAGGGACATATAACGTAGGTCCTGTGTCTTTAGCACTTTCATCTGACACATTTGGATTTCCATCATGGCTTGCACAACTTTAAAAGGAACTCCAAAAGTCAGATCCCCCCAGACAGCCATGGGGAAAATATTGAATTTGCTAGTGGTAAAGTGAAATATCTTTCATGGGTAAATTATTGGCCAACAACATGCTCATTTTATTAATAGGCATAGTCCTCTTAACTTGTAGGGCAAAGCACTTTGCATTTTGCTCCATATCAGCCTTCTGTCATGAGGTGATTTTTGAGGGTGAGATTGTTCACTTTAAAATTTCAGCAGGTTTGGTGGGGACAGATCTCATTTGCCCTCTGCACTCTTTTCTTCAGCAGAACCACACCAGCTCAGCAGGACCTTGTTATATAAAGCTGGGGTGGGTTTTCTACAGAAATGGAGAAAGTATTTGAGAGTCCCATGCAAGAGTCACATGCAGCATCCCTGCATCTCAAAAAGGATGCAGGACAGGGCAGGATAATCTGCAGATCCACTGTGCTCTGTCTCCTCCATGGGGGCAGCAGTATACTAGCTCGAGGGGCTTGAGCAGCCTTGAGCCTTCGGTGACTTCTGCAGAGCAGCTCTAGCTCCATTACCATTCCATGGCCTGAGAAAGGAGAAGTCATTTTCTCCCTTCTCTCCAGCCACTTGGACTCTGCGATCCTTCCAGGAAACACCTATTTGTTTGGAGGGAAAAGGGGTGCTGCTTTCATCTCTCCTTTTCAGATAAACCACTTTTGGTAGCATTTTCAGAGGAGGGTTTTGGCAGAATGAGCATGTTAAAATGGTTGGGTTTTTTTTAGTATCTGAGGCAAACCTACTGCCATGCTCACCACATAGTGAAGTGGTGCCTGCGCCTTCCCTGTCAGACCTGATCTAGGTGCTTATACTGCATAGAATGCATCGCTATGTTAGGAGTATGTTGATAAACTTTGAGAAAGAAGAAATAGATATCAAAATAAAATTTAATTTGCTTAAGCAACTCCCTTTAAATACCTATGATTAAGTATTAAATGAGTCTGTCCAGTCAGAACAAGTCACAATCATACTTCTGTTTTTCACATGAGTATAAATTTTCATGGTGAAGTTGTTAAAACTTAAAGTGGCTTTTGTGGCAGATCCATGAGTCTCTAAAACTTGTCATCCATTGTCAAACATTGTTTCCAAATGTCGTCCAGCTACTCTGTGTCTAGGACCATGTGAAATCCAGGAACCTTATGTGCTATTTTCACAGCTTTAAATTGTACAAATGTTGGCTAAATACCTCAAATCTTCAAAGGTAGCAGTTGATGAATAGGGCAGTAGCTTTGTCATGGTAGGCAGATAACTTAAATCACACTTTCCTTGCACTCAGTATTTTTAGTCTAGAGCTATTCATGTGATTTCACTGGGCTTCGAATTCCCACCCTAAGGTTGCAGCCTCTTCTAAACCTCGACCGTGTGACTCCAACTAGAGCTGTGATGCTTGTATTTAAAATAACAAAGTTCGGTGACAGAAATAACAAGTCTAGTGCCCTTTAATTTGGAGAGAGAAAACAGGTACAGTCTCCCCGCAGAAGTTGTAAAGTAACCCCCCGAATCACTGTTATATTTTGTTTATTCTTTTGACAAAAAAGTAAAAAAATATTTGCTCTAAGATTTGCATCAAAACACACTTTGATTCTAAGGCATATTAGAATGACATAAGTACTAGAATAATGCATACACCAGCAATGATTTCTGCGCTACTCCTAATGGTTCCTAAGGGCAAGGGAAGGACACTTAGGAATTTCAGACCCTGATGGCTAGTTTTCTTGGTCTCTGGCCTTGATTTTGTGTTGATGAATTGGGCTTATTGGAAGAAATTCTAGAAAAGTTCAGTAGTTTGAACCAGAATCTGTATTGTCAAGAGTCACCACATTCCTTTCTGCCCAACGTGACTTTTAGAAAGATTTATGAAAATGAACAAAGGTTTTCCACTGAGCTTTTGATGCAAATACCAGTTAGGATTTCACTGACTTGAGGCTTGTAGTACGGAAAGTTTTATGCTTTTGTCAAGCCCATGTGCTGAACGTTGCTGCAATACAAAGCATTTCAATGGAAATGAGTAGAGGGTGATTACATCACTACCCTCTAGGATCTGGTGCAGTTCCTGTCTGAGACACCTGTGTGAAATCAGTGCCAGTGATCTCACCGTAACATCTACAGATGGATTTTCCATTCCCATCTACTCTGAAAACCCCCAGCCATTGGAAAAAGCATCAGTTCCTTCTAATTAAAGGTCAGATCGCCCAGTAGATGCAACTCTCTGAACAGGGAAGGCCACAAGGTTCTTCCACATCTTGCCCTTGAGTGGGAGGGTTGTCCTTTGGAAGGAGCAGTTTGTTTCCTAAAACTCCTGGGCCCAAGGGAATATGTTGATAATGGTGCTGTCTCCTGAGCCTCTACGCACGCTGTCTCCTGTCTCCTCTGACTCTCAGCTGACTCCACCATCTTGTCACTTCAGTGCTAGTGCCAAGCAGTTCCATTTTGTCCGGTTACCAGCAACATCCTTCTTGGGGGACTCAGTGGGTACAAAAAAGCAACTCTCCTCTATTCATCAACACTAAGCCATTCCCCTCAATACCAGGGACCCACAGCTCCTCACATTCCCTGTAACATTTGGGACTAGTGTTATGGAGGTGGTGCTCCACACATGCTCAGAGAATCCAGTGAACTGTTTTCCCCTCCACCCTTGGAGACCTGGGGATTATGCCATCTGATCTCTCCACCATATTAGTTCTCACCATTCAAAACGCCTCTTTCCTGCCTCCTGTCAGCAGTTGGCTGTGATTTGACCTTGCACATACTTAAAAATAGGGCTAAGTCCCACTCTCCTTTAGCTTTTCTCCAGCAGAACTCCCACTGAAATCAGGAGGAGCTGGGCCTGAATAAGGTTTACAGACCCTGGCCCACATTTCCTATGCTGGCAAAGGAAATCCTCTGTTCCTTTGACAGCATAAGGTAACAGCAAAGAGTAAGTCTTAACAAGAAGAGTGCATTTCACACCTTATTAATCAACAGAGAAATAGTACCTGTCATCTCTCACTGGTTTCACAGCATAAGAGTTGGAAAATAATAAATAAGAATAATGTGTTCATCCTGGTGGCCCTAATTCTACCATATATTCTGTCCTAAAGGCACTGCCTTCCTATCACTTTCTTTTTGGTACATTTTGATCTGAAAAACTATCAGGTTATTACTCATTATCTTTTTTTAAGCCTGTTACCTCCTCTCATCAGGTATCAAGACTTCCACATTTTTAACCAAATTTAGTGATTTTTTTTTTAAACAAATATTAGTAATTTCACATAAAGATCTATAGTGAATAAAGATAATTTCTATAGTGAATAAAGATAATTCATATAAAGATCTATAGTGAATAAAGATAATTTCACATAAAGATCTATAGTGAATTTTTTTTTTTTAAAAGGGCCACTAGTAGGATGATTACCTTAGCTGATGATGTTATATCCAGCCCCTTACTTCCTGAATGGGATGAGTTTAGTTTCTGGCAGGACAGTGGCTTGGCCACATACCATAATTTGCATCCTTTTTATTTGTCAGGTCCAGCACAGTAAGTTGTGTTTTTAGATGGGCTCATTAAAGTGTGCTAGTTAACATGCTTTCAAACAACACTGCTCATTTTCCAAGTGTGGCCAAATCAAGAAGTTGAGTAAAGAATATCAGTTAAAAAGACAGATAAGAAAAAAAAACACACATTGCACTAGCTGTAAGTAAATGAGCACAATACTGACACACTTCCTCAACGTTTTTTCTTGAGAGGTTTACCTAACCAAACTTTTCAACCTGAGATGGGTGACAGACTGTAGCTCAATAAAGCTATACTAAGTATATTTTGCTTTTAATATTTTATCTTGTCAGGTACCTCAGTAATTACTGATATTTTATTCTCTAAAGTACAGATTCCACATAAAATAGAAAATCATTAAACAGTCACTTTAAATGTGTTTATTTTCTAAAACAAACATCACTGCAACAGCATCATAATTTAGGTTATATTATTACATAATGTTTTGTATATACATAATCATAACATATTAGAAAGAGGCTTTACAATGCTCCCTGAGCTATGTTGAGCCATGGGTGGACACGGGTAGAAGCAAGCTGTGGGGTTGAGGGACTTCCACTGAGAACCACTCTTCCCCCAGCCTTTGGCCAAACAGATCTGTGAATCATTAGCTCAGGCATCCCATGTGATCTGAACTTAGCTGTTGAGTGGACGGAAAGTTGGTCTCTAAAGTAAATCCCTTAAATAGGTGATGCTGCACCAAGTCGTTCCTTTAATGGATTTCCTGGAATAAACAGGTCACTCTGGGCTTCCTCAGGCCCTGATTCTACAAGGAACTCTGGAGTGGACTTGTTTGCTAACATGTTGCTCCTTGCAGGTGTGGGTCTTAAATGCTGAGTACGGGGCTTTGCTTCTCTAATCCAGCATTGTATAGGACAAACTAATTGGTTGAGTGCACAGAAAAAGACACTGTTCAACTAGAAACCTAATGGGAGACTAGATTTTGATCTGCTAATAGCAGAATATCAAAGCTAACAAACAAGATGCTTTTAAAATGTAATAGGCTGACTGATAATATCCAGGATCCTTGAAACCTTATATTTGATTAGAATGTGAACCCTCTTCCTAACAAATGAACCAAGCCATCAGATATTTAAAAGTCCCTCTTACTTAAAGTCTCAAATAATTGAAAGGCTCATGAGGCAGAGGGTGGTAGTTCTTACATCTGCCACAGTAGTGACTAGATTTTGCTCAGAAAATTCCAAAGAAACACTCTCTCTGCTTGAAGTGCTGCAGAATGTCTGAACAAAGAGTTCCTTGTTCCTGGTACAAAATGATAGGTGTAGTTTTAAAAGCCAGAGTTGGGGAAAAGTTCAAACTCTCGAAAGGTCCCATTGTAAGGAGCACATGGAAACCTGCATTGTTTTGGGTGGTGCCTGAAAATAGTGGAAATATCCAGTATCCCTAAGCAGTTCCAGAAGAATCAGGCATTTAATCACATTCAGATTCTGCAAGGCATAATCAGCTGCCTGAATAGCTTGAACCTGACGATTACAGAACTCCATAATGTGAAACTAGCATTTTGTACTGAGTAATAAAAGTAAAATTAGGTGGTAAGTGTTGAGAGAATGTGCTTGCATCAACCATACCAGAGACCGTAACTCCAGCTAGGACTTAAACACAAAAGTTCCTGGGTAGAGGGTGTTGCTCCTCTGCTTAGGGTCAGAATGACTGCCATGTTTGGGTTCAGGAAGGAATTTTGCCCCACAGTCAGATTAGCATTGATTGTAGGGGTTTTGCCTTCCTCTGAGGCAGCAGACATCATTTCTTCCTTGAGTCTCTTGAGCATATTTTATGCTAATTCCTGTCCCTGACAGGGCATTGACAGTGTCCTGATCTTCCTACTGTACCTATGGCCAGTTAGGATTTTTGCTGATGTTCTGGGCATTGTGCCTGGTAGTTGTGCAAGTGGGTTGTTTGCAAAGAATTTATGAACAGGTAGACAAACACTTGTCTAGGATGGTTTAGATAAGGATGATTCAGCCTTGAGCAGAGAGCTGGACTAGATGACCTCCTGAGGTCCTTTCCAGCTCTACTTTTCTATTAATCTATTCCATAACATTCTCATAGTCTGCACATACAAGTCCTATTGACTGACATGCCAATGAGAAATCTATGTGTTGATAAAGGACCTTGTGATGTCTACTTACCCATGTTCTTGTTATTGTTACATGTGCACTGTGTAATCAATATTTCCTTTGATTAACAACCTCCCAGAGTACCAGAAGATATTCTTTCCTAACAAAGGCTGAGCTTTGTGAAGCCTGGCTTCTTTCCCTTAGTATGTAGTTGTTATTTAAGTTACATAAAGCATGGTTTTGAGTGAGTCATGTTATATCTGATCTGAGTTGCACCGGATCCTGGAATTCCATAAATAGGAAATTTCAAATAAAATAAAATCCTGGACTATCAATTTCCAGCAGCTTCTCCTTCCTCTGCAGCATGGGAGTGTTCTGCACACACCACTGCTAGGATTTTCCCACTTATGTAGAACTGCTCTAGCAAATAAAACAGGAGAGCCTGACTGCACACTAGGTGAAAAATACTGTGCAGAAGCACATCACAGCACAGACAGTGTTAATACTCTACTGCACAGTATTATTAGACTACCATGCAGTAGCATCACCTAAAAGACATTCATCAGCATTACTGTGCAGTAACTCCAATTACTGCACATTTATTTGGTACTTGCATTAGTAAGTACTAAATAAATGTGCAGTACTTGCTAATGCAAGTACTAAATAAATGTGCAGCAATGACTGCGCCATAGCATCTTGTGTAGACATGCCCACTGTTGCTTTATGGATAGTAATTGTCAAGGTTCCTCCAAAATGGAAAGGATAATAGAGTCCTAGATGATAGAGATGCCAGAAATCTCCCATTAGTGGAGACTGCAGACTGAACCCTACCAGGTGAGTGGTTTAGACCCTATATAAGACAGGTTATATGCAAATACCAAGTAGCCAAAGTAGTGATAGTGAACCAGGATGCTGCAAGATCCTTTTAAGGGTTCCATGCAATATTAGTGCTGTTAGGATGCAAACATGTACACATGATTCACAAGATAAGCAGAGAGAGATTTCAAACAGGAATCCATAGTGTCAGAAACATTCTGCCATGTTGCATTCTTTCTGAGTTCTTTGCTCTATTTTTCTTCCATGCTCAAAAAATGAGTGAAAGCTAAGAGCTGGTATTTTCCAAAGGGTACCTTTGAGTCTAAAAAGTTTTATAACCACTGAGTTAAAGACATAAGGAGATCTTGGAGCCTTGAGTCCCAACCCTCATGAGATGAGCCTCTTAAAAATGTTTGTTTGGGGGATGAGCTTTCCTTCCTCTTGCCCAAACTCTACTACTGTCCCCTGCTTTGAAACAAGTCACATTGAGGCACAAAGCCACAAAATTCTTCAGAGACCTAAGGATTGAGCTCTTTAGGGTCTTCATAATGAAAGGAACTTTTTGTCCATCACAAGCAAACTATATCTATCCTACCTCAACAAGAATATCCACAGGAAGCAGAATTCTGTCACAAGGGCCATCCTGTACTGTTCCATCCAAACTTCCCCCATGGCTTGGTTTAGGAACAAAACTCCCTTAGAGGTTGCAGGGTCTCTGAAAAAGCTAACAGGACAATTCACAAGTCCAAGTGTTCATCAGCTTCCTGGTCATATTACAGTATTTGAAACTCCTGCTCCATTTCCTAATCTTTCAGGCTGAGTTTGGAACTGGGATTTCAGACCTCTGAAGATTGTTTCATGGCCGACTCCTGGACGCTTGCATTCTACTCATTTGGGTCTTATTCTTTAGCTCTCAGATTCTCTCAGGCAAAAGGAAACATGTCTACAAGACCTAGCATGGAGCCTGAATGTGGCTATGCAGATATTGGGTACACTCTGCATTTTGTACCTGGCTGTATTATGCAGTTAGTTCAGTTGCCATCACCTCTGCCCATTTCTCACAAGAGACTGCTACTCTGTGCTGCAGGTCCCCCTCCATAATTTTCCACAGGGACGAGACTGCTTTAAAAATAATTCAAAATTTCGCAATAGTCAGTTGGCTTTTCATTTTGTTATACCAGAAACTTTGCATTCTCGCCATATTGCCAGAGCCCAGAATGTCATTTTCATAGAAGGTAGTTTCAGAAAAATCAGATAATTTGTCATCTTTGAGGGCTCCATAGAAAGTCCATTTTGTGCTAGACAAAAGAATATACGTAGGCATCAAGAAAACTCCCCCAGAATATGAAAGCTTGCTCTACTCAAGATATAATAATCGCTTGGCTGACAGAATCAGCATTTCTCTATGGGATTTGCCAGACTATGGAAGTCTATGTATAAATTCACTTATAATCCATTCTTAGATGTTTCAGATGACTACTAATGTACTAGGTACAGTTACCAAAGACGTCTAATCATGGTCTGCTCTAATTTTTCTGTTGTGATTGCCATCTTCTAGTGGTCATCACCTCTACCTGTAGCACCCAGGAGTCTTTTACTCACCAGCTGCTCTCAGATTTAGCATCTGACAAGGTCTTGATTTTTCAGGTTGTGGGAAATTCAAGCAGAAAAGTAAATTTGTATTAATTGAATTGAATGTTTGGGGAATCTTTAGCAAAGAATCTGTAATCTGGAAATGAACCTAGCATCCTATTCATCATGTCATTTATTAGTTAGGTTTTCCCATAAAGAATGTTACTGAGTGGTTCAAGTTTGCTGTTCTGGAGAGAGAGGAAGACAAAAAACCTAGTGGCAAATTGCCTTTCATGCATCCGTGCTCTGGAATGAAGGAGAGAAATCACAAAGTATCTAATTAAATTGCAGTCCCAGTAGTGTAATCTTAATAATGTCTAATTGATTAAAAACAGATTGGAGCCCTTATCTGATTCCAAGCATTTTTGTTCTCTGTTTTCTCAGATGGATATGCATTTTCTCAAGAAGAACATGGAGTTGTTTCCCAGTCGCAAGTTGTTCGATCCTATGACACAACTAAAAAGAGAGATGGAATAGAATAACACAAGTCTTTCCCTGATTGGTGGTGGGAATAATGAGATTCGGATCAGTGCATCCACTGTTAACACATCCTTGACTAAGGTTGGCAGCAGCAGCCAAAACACCGGAAAATCATTTCTGTGGCCTTAGCCAACAAGTTTATGTATTCCCCAGCAAACCTTGAGCACACATTGTGGGGAACTCGTTGTTTGGATTCAATCGCAATGCTCTGCCTAATTTTTGTTTATGTTGTTATGAAGCATTTGACTGTGCTATGTGAGGTGTGAAATTAAAAACATCATGTTTTACCACTATTTAAAATGTCAGTATAAATTGTTCTGGGAGAAAAGTAGAGAATTTATGTTCCATGAGAAATTGGCCTTTGCTTAATTGGAATTGGGGTACTGAGATTTCCTGTTTGGTTACACACAGATGAAGTGCACACAGCTGCATGCAAACCTTACTCACTAATGGTGACTGTTTACTTGATTCAATTGGAATTTTCAATGGACAAATTTGGCATAAACCTTCATTGCACTGAAATACCACTATATGTAACACTATATGTTGGTAAAGCTAATGATGCTTATTTTGTCTACTTATTCATAACAGGGTATCACAATATGGCAATGGATAGGTTAGGGCTCAGTCAGCTTTTTAAAAATACGTCCTCCTGCGGACAGTATTTATAACTCTCCCTCAGATTGCATGGCAGGGCAGGTATGTTGATTGCATGAAATTCTGCACAGAGAACCTCAAAAAAATATAGAACCCCTTCCCAACCATGTTGCAGGTTGTACTTCAGATTTGGCTATAGGATTTCTCCTGCTTAAGGGTATAACAGAACAGCTCATTGAAATGCTCAGCGTATCTTCCATGTTGCTCTGTCCCAAGAAGGCAAACTCTAGCAGTGAGTGTGTAGTGCAGAAGAACTTGAGTTTCATAGGAGATTGTCTCCCTATGCTGTTGCTCATGTTCTCCTTTCTGACATCTGAAAAGCTGGTGCCTTTATATCTACTGCTGTTGGAGCCAGTGTGAACTCAGCCAGTGTGAACAGTGTGAGATGAGACAAGTACATTTGGGTTTTTCATATACCAAGATGTGGGTAATTTCTTCACAAGAAGTAACTGTTGTACAAGAGATCAGTAAGCATTACAGAATCCTCCATGGCAAGAGAGGGTAAAACTCCCAATGAAAACAGCAGAACAAGAAATGCCCTCGCTTCTCCCTGAAAACTGTTGAATTAACTTAGAAACTCAAACAAGCAACGACTTACTGATGCTGGAGAAGTATGTGTCTGCTTAGTGCTTTGGAGACACTGTCCAAGATCATTTTTTCTGTTTGCACATCTGACCCCATGGCATTGCCAGAGCTCCTCTGTCATTATTTCTTACAGGGTGAAAGATGGTATCACAAGTCAGTGTTATCTAGAGTTTTCACGTGACAATATCACTAGACATTGTGCTGAAGAGAAGACCTGCTGTTTGGTTAGTCAAGTGGGCTGATCCCTTCCTGAGATCTGATCCATTTTCATATTCAACAGGTTTCCTAAAATACACTTTGAATCTTGTACATTGGAAGAAACATTGGTTTTACTGACTCACTTGCTGAATGGGGCAGACCTGCTACCGCATATGTTGGAATTATGCAAAAATTTGAAAAAAGTGGGGCATAAATTAGAGCTGAATAGAGCCCTTAGAAAGCAAACACTGTCTTCCAGACAGGGTCTGCTCATTTTAATTGCCAAACCACGTTTTTGAAGAGTATAAAGTAAATATTGCTGTGCAGCTTGTGCTTAGCCAAGTTTCTCAGTTTGTGTGTACTATATGTGTGTGTTTAAAAAGCCAACACTGTTTTTGCCCTATTGACCATCATGTAGAACTTTTTATTGATTTAATGCATCAAAAAGCAATTCAAATATGAATATTTATGCTTGTCAAGTAAAACAAAGGCATGAGCCTGGCACGCTGGTTTAGCCTTTCTGAAGGGTCTTAAGTGATCTCCAACTCTGGAGTACAACAGTACCATTCCTGGTGCCTTCTTGAAGGTTTGGAGTTCCCTCTGTCTTAAGCAGCAAGTGTTCTGATCCTACAGCACCAGGCGGAATATTTCTTTTCTTGGATTGGGTTGGAGTTGGAAGGAAAAGTCATCACCCCTTTGTTTGCAGTGCTAATGAGAGAATTATGCAAAAAGGAAAACTTGCAAGTAATTTGCCACAGGCATGAATGTCAAGGGGCCCTGTGTGTGTGTGTGTGTGTGTGTGTGAGAGAGAGAGCTTGTGTGTATGTGTCTGGGAGAGGGATTAGGTATAAAGGAGAGAGAACTAGGGGGAAAGAATAAACAAACAAAAGACAAAACCTGATCTCCAGAGTATTAGGCTCTTTTTGTGCTGATCTAACACTTTAAACATTTTCTTTTATTTGGAAACCAGGCCTGCTTAAGAAATAGATGAGGTAAGTCTGTGCTTGAACAACCGTTTCTTCCTTTTCTCACACCACTAAGTAAAATTAACTTCCTACAGGGACAAAAATGAGATCAGTTCAGCCTTTGTATTCTAAACTGCATTCCAAACATTGATATCTAAGTAGTTTCAGAGGGGTTTTTTTAAGCATATTAGAAAGTACATTAAACACTATGAAACAATAAGGCAAGTTTAACACGCGCAGTGAAGGGAAGAGAGAGTAAGCCAGCGTCTGTAGTCTTCTCGGTTATTTGCTTAGTGCAACAAAGTTGAATGCAGCCAAATGAGAGATGTTGGGGAGGAGCAGCTGTCACCAGTATGATTTATTTTACTAGTACAGACTACAGACTGGATCATTTTGACCTAGCTCTAAATTGAGGTCAGTGCATGTCACACAAACCCTCCCCGAAGTGAATGGCGAATTGAACTGAGGTACATGTGCTGGATGTCAACTCAATGGAAATTACACATGGGGCTTGTCACACAGCTATACAGTACGTGATGTGGGGACTGGCAGGTCAAACTTTATCAGCACTGTAGGACCTTAATCTGGTTTTGGGTTAATCCTGTCAAACCCACCCAGGTCAAGACCTGGCATTCTTCTTGTTCTTTGGAGTCATTACAAGCATGAATCTATCGTGATATGCTGAATCCTGGCTGCTTTTGTTTCTTGTTTTTGTGAACGATTAGGTGTATTCCAGCATGTATTAGTAAACAGAGAAGGACAGCAGCTCTGTATAAACAAAATTCCACATCCATTTACTGAAACACGTGCCAGCAGGAGCAACCTTTCAAACCACACTGTGAAAACTTTGTCAACTAGACAGGGTATTGGAGCAGAATAAACTGCAGATTTCTGTTTGACAGTCTGGATTAACACTTCAGTGTGCATCAGAAAAGGGGCTCTTCGGCAGCTCTCACTGTTGACCAGTCTGCCAGGTTTCTGGAAGGTTTTGGGGAACAGCTGATAAGCCTATTATCTACTGTTAAAAGTACACGTGATTTGCCCCTTTGGATCAATATAATATACTAGAATGGGTGATTGGAACGTGCTGTTTCTTTAACAAATGTCTAGTAACAAATTAAAAACAGTGAACTTGGGTTTGAGCTGAGCAGTACTGAGAAGTCTGTTGACATTTTCTTTTCCTTGACAGGGCTTCAGGTCTTGCTGTAGGGAGCTAGCACGGGAAGTCAGTAATAACTTGTCAAGGAGAAATGGTGAATAACCAATAAAAGTATCTAAGGCAAACTAACTTGCTAATGTATTTAAAAATGTGTGTGGAGTTAACATGAATGGTATGGGCTATAAATAAAGATAACAGTCAAGCTTCACTAATCTGTTTTTCACTAGACCACACACTTTTTATCCATGCCAGAAATGCACAGTCTCTTGCCACCTCTTAGCCAACAGTTAATAGCAGATGCTGCAGTGAAGTCTCCTGATATTATGTTATTTTTATAGCATGTGCTCCAGCATGTTTGCTAAGAAACTATCAGTGATGATCTATAAAGAAGGCTAAACCAAGATGAACAAAATAAGTGAACAGTACATATTGTGATGCATTCTCTTTGTTCATAGAGGGCCAGCCCAAGGCTGAAATGGGACATAAGAGATGTGTATACCTTCCATCTCTCTACAGTTTGATTTCATCAATAGTAATAGTGTCTCACAAATTGTATTAAATTTCTCAAGTCATCAACAGTAATTAGTGATGTTCTGTTGTATAGTTTCCAAGCAGCCATGACTTTATACCTAGTGCTGGTATACAGTATATAATAATCCTTTTAATTTCATTTTTAAACTCTGGAGAATGTACTCCTGTTTCTATACCAAATGCCCAGGGACTTGAATTGGCGATGCCTAAATAGGCAGTACAGGCAAGGGACCCTGTGCAGTTCTCTCCTAGTTTTGAGACAGAGTATGCTTTAGCCTACCTTTGAATCATTATGCAAGGTCAACATCCTGGAACAGTATTTTAAAACTCAGTCAGTGTGCATGTGATGAGCCCTTCATCTCCTCATGTCCATTAAAATATTCCAGCAAGGATGCAGAGTGGTTTGCAAGAGCAATGCCTGTGCAAATAAAGAGGGATTGCCAGTTCCAATCTGGGTGTTGCCCCATCCCTAACTAGCAAGAATTACTGTGTACAGTGTAAGAGCCAAAATCAGATGATGAGAAAAATGGGACAGAGCCAGGGTAAGGGTCACATACTTGCCAAATGACTGCAAGGACAGAAAGGTTCTGTTTTTCAGCGCTTGATTCCTTCACTTTTTCTCAACAGCTATCTGTACAAGAGTCCAGGCCCCAAATTTGAAAGTAGGTAGAAGTAAGGAGTTGAGAAGGACAAGTAGTTGTGCTATGTAGTGAGCTCTTATTATATTACAGCCACTTCAAAACTCTGTGGTCTTGGGCCCAAGAACTGCAAGTCTTGGTCTTTCCTGGAGCTAGTGCCCTGTGTGAAGATGCAGATTATAATTCCTTGAGGCTCTTCAGGAGGTGTTTCCAGAATACATGAGGATCCTTTAGGATATAACTAATTCCACCTAGTATAGCAGGGAGGGGTGAATGCAGTGCTCAGCACTAAGGATTCAAACTAAGCTGGATTCAGTGGGTATATGGTTAAAGTTCAGTATGTACTGAAGCTCTTTTGTTAGATCAGGGCTAACAAGCTTAGCACTTGGCCAAATTGCATCTGTACCTACTAGCCATTCCTCACATGCTCCCTTAAAACAGGCAAAAAGTTAAGCAGCTAGGGTATGTAGAAGTTCAAATCCTGCCTCTAAGCCCAGTTTACCTATTCCGTGGCCTTTTAGTAGATTCACAGTTGTTGCAATACCACTTG